TTTCCCTAGCTAAAAATTACAGGCAATAAAGCCTAGTTAATGTCAAATAAATTAAATGTTAATGATTTCCTATAATAAGAATCCTATCTTCTTCAAAGTAATGACTGAAGAGACACAACAGTACATAGCTCTCTTCTTTAAAGTGAAGACCGGTGATAGACATTCGTACTAATGATGTTATAACGTGTCGAGCATGCCACAAGCCAACTTAACCAACATAAAAGCAAAACAAGTGTAGTTGCTGGATCATGTAGCGTGCACAATTCTTTAAACCAATGCAAAGGTCCAAAATGGAACAATGCTAATATAAAACAGCAGAAAGCCATCTACAAGATCCACACGTCAATAAAGCAAAACAAAGTGGAAAAATGATCTAGTGACACATGAATCAATGTCATAATTTTAAAAGATATTTAAGTAAAGCTCCTTGTAGTCTAGTCAATTATGAGAAAAAGCGCAATAGTGTAAAGTATTTTAACTAAAGACAATACCATATTTTAAAAATAAGGACACCTAAACATAACATTATGTCAGGGTTTAATGAAACTAGTAGTACGACTCACCTTCATTTGCATTGTCAAATCCTAGGAGGCAAAGTGACGCCAATCTAATGTAAGCAAATGCCCTCACAGCCAGCAGATATGTTTGGTTCTCTTATCATCATGAGCGCTAGTACACTGCCTGTGAACTTCACCTCACGCCTCCCATTGCTAAGCACTTCCGCGCAAGTGTGCCTCCACACGATCCCATTTTTTCGCACTTTCCTACACGATCTTGGAGATTTTGTATGGGTTGAAAAAATATTCAACATAGGTAGGTGAGTTATTTTGATAAATTTTTTAATGAAGTTCCTGAAAAATACGATCAACCTTAGTGATATTAATATCGTTAATAATAATAAAATATTTCATTTTTACCGTCACATTAGTAAAAAAGAAGTTGATGAGGCTTTAAAGAAAACAAAAAGGTGGAAAGTTTGTAGGACCAGATGATATTCCAATTGAAGTATGGAAATGTTTAGGAGATTTAAGAGTTTTCTTAGCTTACTAAACTCTTTAATATTATTTTCAAAACTAAAAAGATGTCTGAGGAGTGGAGAAAGAGTATTTTGGTCCTCATTTTTAAGAATAAAGGGGACCCACTAGAGTGTGCAAATTATAGAGGAATAAAGTTGTTGTGTCATACTTTAAAATTATGGGAGAAGGTAAGTGAACATAGATTAAGACGTATTATAAAGATTTCTCATAATCAATTTGGATATATGCCGGGCAGGTCTACTATGGGGGTTATACATTTATTGAGAGGTTTGATGGAGAAGTACAGAGAGAATAAGAAGAATCTACATTTGATTTTTAAAAAGCTTACGATAAGGTTCCAAGAGATATCCTTTGGAGAGTTCTTGAGAAGAAATGTGTTGATATGACTTATATTCAAGTAATTAAAGATATGTATATTAGAGTTGTTACTTGTGTTCGAACTGAAGGAGGATTGATCAAATATTTTCCCATTTTTGTTGGATTACATCAGGGATCGGCTTTAAGCCCATATCTTTTTGCTTTAGTTATGGATGGCCTTACTGAACATTTACAAAAGGATGTACTTTAATGTATGTTTTTTGCTGATGATATTCTTCTTAAGGATAAGACAAGAGAAAAAGCCCAGGAAAAACTTGAATTATGACGATCTTCATTGGAGTCTAAAGGCCTTCATTTGAGTAGAACTAAAACTGAATAGATGGAATGTAATTTTAGTAGTAGTAGCTCTAGTGACAGAAGTGTAACTTTGTGTGATCAAATTATTAAAAGGTGTGAACGATTTAGATATCACGGGTTTGTTGTTCAAAGCGATGGTGATATAGATGGGGATGTTAATAGTAGATTTAAAGTTGGTTGGTTGAAGTGGAAGAATGCTCAGGCCTTTTGTGTGATAGAAAAGTACCGCTTAGACTGAAAAGAAAATTTTATAAGACGGTGATGAGACCTGCAATGCTCTATGGCACTGACTGTTAGCCTTTAAAGGAGAAGCATAATACTAAATTAAGTGTTGCCGAGATGAGAATGATTAGGGGGATGAGTGATTTTACGCTTAGAGAAAAAAGGTGAAATGAATATATCCGTGATAGGGTTGGTGTAGCTCCTGTGACAGACAAAATTAGAGAAAGTCGTCTTAGATGGTTAGGTCACATTAAGCGTCGACCAACTAATGATCTGATTAGGAGAGTAGATGTTTTAGATTCGACTTATGTTAAGAAAGGCAAACGTAGACCTAGGAAGACTTGGGCTTATTGTATAAAAAATGATCTTAATTTATTAGAACTAAATGAAAATATGACACTAAATATGATGCAATGGAGAAAAAGGATTCAAGGATTCAAGTAACCGACCCCAAGTAGTGAGATTAAGGCTTTGTTGATGTTCTTGTTGTTGTTGTTGCATTATAATATTGTTTCCAATTTGCTAAAGAAAATTGAGCGCTTAATTAAGAAAAATTTCATAAACCCTACTTCCACTGAATTAAAATTAGTTAAACTTTGTTTAGGAAGTTGACTACGACATCTTTTAATAATTACAAGCCATTTGTTCTGATTAATTAATATTAAGCTAGGACATAATTGAAAAAATTGAAAAATTAATTTAAATATGGTTAAATTGCTTAATTTGTCAAAAAAAAAACAACAATAATTTGAATATTCACATATATGTGTAAACGATTATATAATTAAATAAATAGCTAATTGAATAAATAAATCATAAATGAATAAAAATAAAAATAGTAAATTTAGAAATTATTATGAAAGAGATTAGAAATTAATAAGAGTTAAATAAGAGTATTTTTTAAAGCAGCTGCAACGGTTTGAAGAAGCAGATGCAAAAAAAAGTTGTTCAAAAAACTGCGGTGACTATTACAAATTTGTTTTAACTTTTAAAAGTTAGACCGTAATTTTCTGGTAGCCGTCACACTTTAACAAATTTGGTTTAAGAAAACCGTTTTCTACCATAAAAATTTCTAAAAATCATCAAAAAAACAGTTCCAAACAGAACTACGGTGGTGATCTGAAAAGCAGAGCAGTCGGAAAATTGTCCAGAACATACCCTAAGTCTAACTTGTTATTCTAGGCGTACCCAGACCCAGTTTCACCTGAGGAAAAACAACAGCGGACTTCAAACTATATTAAACAGGTGGGTAAATATACTTTTATTTTACAAGAGTTCTATTTATTTATGAAATTAATTGCAAATGTTTTACCATTTTTAGTTTTTTTAAATGTAATTTTTTTTTCTGAATGTTAGGGAGTCACCCCAAAAAGTACTGGTTGGGAATTATAATAGTAATAATATCCTCTTATCAAAACTAAATTCGTTGGTTTTACATTATACTTCCAAGAAGATGTGGAAATGAAGAAAAACACCGTCACTCTCCAATATTCATTAAGCTATGGGCAAAAAGACAAATGAAAGTTTATCATAAATTTCCTGTTCTAACAGGTTATCTTTAATTGTCTTTTAATATTAAAATCTAGCAATTTAATTGCAACTGCCACTTGTCTTTATCTAATAAAAACTTATGCTTAAAAAGGGCTCTAATAAAACAAATTTAATTTATCCTGAAATATTAGTCGTAGTGCACTGCTAGAGTTTGTTACCAAAGCTATCCTGGACTTTGTTTCAGCAAAAAAAATTTAGATTTCTATTATGATTTGGGTTAACTTTGGCATCAAAGAAGTTGACGAAACTAAGTCCGAGCAGCTTTCTGCTTCAAGCGATAATATTCTCGTATCAAAACTCAATTCGTTGATTTTACAATAAACATTCCAGAAGATGTGGAAATGAAGGAAACATCGCCACTCTCCAATATTCATTAAACCATGAGCAAAGAGACAAATGAAAGCTTATCATAAATTTCCTGTTCTATCTAACAGTTATTTTCTACTTTTTCATATGGTTAACTTTAATTGCATTTGTACATTAAAATCTAGCAATTTTATTGTAACTGCCACTTGTCTTTATCTAATAAAAAATTTATGTTTAAAGAAGGCTCTAATAAAAGGACTTTAAGTTTATCCAGAAATATTAGTCGTAGTGTACTGCTAGAGTTTGTTACCAAAGCTAGTATAATGCCATAACCAGTTCATAATAAATCCTAAGGGTACTACTAAAAATTCATGGCAACCCCAAGAAGTACGGCAAAGGTATTAACAAAACCAAATCATGTTTAGTTTCCCTTGTTTACAAAATATGTTAATCTACGGTTCTTAACAGCAAAGAAACAAAATATGTTAATCTACTGTCCTAGTTAGCAAAGTACTGAAACTATAAAAACAGAACTATAAGGGCTTTTAACCAAATAGCTCTAATTTTCATTCTCAAGATAAGAATATCACCATATTTTAACCTCTCATGTCCTTATATAGCTCATTGATAATAGTCCTGAACATAGAAAAGCACTTTCCACACGATCTAAAAGAAATTAACTTGAAAATTAGATTATTCTCAGCAAAATATCAGAGGAGAGTTGTGCATGCCTCTGCTAAAGCATTGCCTGATAAACCTGGTTAAGTCTGCAAGCATAAATCTTATCATCAATCTTAGCATAAAGAAAAGGTTAATTATATACCTGTGCGTCAAGGGCACTCTCCAGTACCTGGGGTAGCAAACGTGCAGGATGCCCCAACCTCACCAACCTAACTCTGTAAGAAATGATATACTTTTGGTAAAATAATTCATAGAAAAATAAAACAATTTCAATGAAATTCATAACCCAAAAAGAATTTACAATAAGTTGTAGTAATATAATTTACATGTCTGGTTATTGATTTGATTATACTTCATCCGCTGCATACGAGTAAAGATAAACCATTTTACTGGAATTTTCTTTTAAAGTGGGATCTTTCAAACAAGGTAGCCAGCACAAGTTTGATTATTCAAAGTTCATTACTTCTAAGTGATTCTGAAATTCTATCACGGATACTTGATAGTCAGCTTATTTTCTTTTTCAATTTTAGCTCCTTAAATCCTTTAAAGTTTAACTATACATTTTTGCTAATTGATATTCAGCATGGCTTCTGCAACTTCATCTCAATGCCATGTTTTAGTTGACATTATTTCACCTGTTTTTTTTTTTAATTACACAGCATTGTATCTTGATATCTCGGAATTCAAATTGGAGTAGTGGATTAGTTGACTTGGTATCAGAGTGCCTTTCCCATGTCATTTCGTGTTAAAAAGGTAAAAATATTAAAGAAGGATATGCTTCAATTAACATCAACATTGCCCCACCTTGTGCTATGTACTCCAAGGAAAACAAGACCATGTCCCTCGGTTCACATGTTTTTCTTTGAAAGTACTCGAGCCATTGTTTCTTTGGTTTCTTTCACTTAATCATCTGATAGTACTCAAAGATTAAAGCTTTTGGATAAAGATGATTTAAAGACTGGGATGCATAAAAACAAATAATGATTTTTTAGATGGAAAAAAAGGGAAATACACCTAAATCTTTCACATACATACGGCCCAATTTACATATCTAAGATCTAAACATTAATTTTCACATTTATACCACTTAGATCTTTCATATCACATCAAAAATACTACCAATTTAACTTTTTAAAAGTGAAAAACACCTTTTCATGCATGGGGAAGGTGGCATGTACGTAAAAAATGAAGTTTAGGTGTTCGATGGGTAAATACATAAGAATTGAGCGGTATGTATGTAAATCTTCCAAAAAAAATTAAATGGCATTTGGAATGGTACCGAAAAAAACAGGCAACAAAGCAATGAAGAACTTCACACTACAATTCACTTAGTCTTTCTTCTGAAACCTCAACTCCTAAAAGAAGGCAAAGCTCATCTAATCAGCTCATTCATAGGCTGCGACAAGTGGTCTAAATTGCAACATCATCGAATCAGCTCATATAACGCGGAGCTAAATTACATGGTGTGAACAAAAAAATTTCCGAACAAAGAATATGGGATCATTGTACCTTTACCTATAGCTACTTTTTTTTTTCTTTTTTTTTTTTAATTTTACCTGCAGCTAACTATGAAAATTTTAAAACACATTACGCAAGGTTAGGTCAATCTTTATGTTGGTCACTCGAGAAGCACAGGAGAAACAGTTGTTTTTAGTTTTGTTTCATCAGAAACATCCATAACACAAAATCTAAGGTATGGGTTGAATTTAAAAAGCAAAGGCTTTCAAAAATCAACAAACTTACTTGGTTTTCATTTATTCACATAAATTCGCCCCAACTAAAATCATGGAACCACCACAACAACAACAGCAACAAAACCTTTATCCCACTAAGTGGGGTCGGCTACATGAATCTTTTTTCTCCATTGCGTCCTATTCAGTGTCATTTAACTCTAATTAATTAACATCATGGAACCAATAATAAAAAATTGAATCAAACCGCATATTCAAAGATAATGTTTACAAAATCAAATATTGATGCGCTATGAAGCATGGACACAGACACGGACACGACACAACAAGACACGAAAACACAATGTAATTGAAAAAAAAAAAAGACACAACACGTCTTGGACATGGTTTTATATTTTATTAATTATTAATATAAAATATATTTTCCAATTATTCTTTATTAAAAATAACAATACAAATTAAGCAAGAATAGAATTTAATTTCATAAATTTAATTTATATTATAAAACTTCATGCTTATGAAAATTAGTTTTTAAAATTAGATATAATATGTTTCAAAAGAATTCATCCAACTTTTCTACTAAAATTTAAAAAATCATATGATTACAAAGAGGGTATTACTAATGCTCGACTTTAACAAAAATTAGATGCATCTTCGATGCTCGACTTTGATGAATATTAGAGGTAGCTTCAACATGATGAGAGATGGGGCGGTTTTGACTATGATGTATCATTAAGGCTAAAATTATATTTATGTTTTTAGTCCCAACATCTCATTTTTCTCAAAAAAGTGTTAAGATCACGGCTGATGCAGTGTTGACTGTCCCCGACGTGTTCGCATTAGGGGTGTAAACGAACCGAACACTAACGAATAACGCTTGTGTTCGTGTTCGGTTCGTTTGAAATTTAGTTTGTTTGAAATAAGCTCGTGTTTGAAATTGTTCGTGAAGTCAATGTTTGTGTTCATTTCTTAACAAACGAGTCGAACATAAACAAACCAGCCGACCACGCGTTTTTGGCGAACGACGAGCCAGTTTGACATCCCTAATATTAATATATATAAATAATACAATATAATATATTATGTTAATTATATAACTTAAATTATATAAATATATAATATCTATATTAATATATTACTAATATAATACATTAATATATTATTTTTATTAATTTATTTTATATTATAATTTATAAAATTTTATTTTTTTAAATATCATAAATTTTTTATATATAATTATTTTAAATTATTTTATATTTTGAACAATAACGATTCGAACACAAACGAACGTATCACTGTTCGTGTTTGGTTCGTTTAACTAACCGAACGAAAAAAAATTTATTCACGTTCGTCTCGTTTACTTATCGAACGAATCGAACACGAACTCATTGACGAACTGAACACGAACTGTTCGCGAACAACGAGCTTTTTTGACAGCCCTATATGTTGTGATGTCAGAGAAGTTTCGAAGCTTATTGAAAAATGTTGGATTTCGATACGTGTCTGACACTTGTACGACTCCTTTTTAGAAATGTCTGTACTACTAGCTGATGCGGAAGCGGGCACAGTAGCTCCCGAGTGGGAGTTACGTGAACTAATAAAGCCACGAACGCTAATGTCGTGGAATGAACCTGGTCCAAGTGGGATCTCTATTAAGGAGTCGACCAGTTCTCTTGGGCCGCTCCCGGTTATCTTATTATTATATATTTATTTTCATAGGAGTCTAGAGTAATTTTTCCAACCTTTTGTTCGGGATAGCCGCCAGTATCTCTTCTTCCCTTCGATGGTTGTATTTTGGTTTACAGGTGGTACTTCGACTTTATCTTGGTCACTATGTGGTATTTATCATTCCCCAACTCTTTTGCATCATTTCTGCTTCGTTGCCTCGTATTCCTCCTCGCTGCATGCCACCATGACGACCATCCTTTTGTTGTTTCCTACAGTTTCCTCGTTGAACAACCCTTTTCCTTGTTGTCCTACCTAGAACATCCTCCCTTTAGCTATCCGACAACCCACCGCATCTCCCATCGTCATCCCATGCTTTCATCCTCGTTGTTAATGCCTTTAGTCAATCATCAACCTTGCTTCCATCCTTCCAATAGCCTTCCCAATTGATTGTAGCCCCTTCCCAGCCTTCCTCGCAACCTTCCCAACCGGTTGGCCAACCGCCATCCAGCTTCTGACCCCGTCCTCATTGCAACCGCAACCATTTCTGCCCTTCCCTCTTGTTTTCATCAACCCGGACAGCCATCACACATCGTCCCCCGACTGTCTACTTGTTGTTTTCTGCTTGCCACCAATCTTTTCCAACCTCGTGCCACCTTCCACACTCACCGACTACCACGACCACCCCAAGATCCACCATCGTTGAGTGCTTGTGTCGTGCACAGTTAATACTTTCGATTTCTGGTGTCATGCTTTTTGTTATGTCATATTCCAGTTGATTTTTTGTAAGTTCATATTTGAGTTTCCGTAATAATATTTGTTTTTCCTATTGTGATTTGGGTTAACTTTGGTATCATTTGGTATCAAAACTAATCTAATCTTAGTCTTACTCACATCCTAGGATTTCTAGCAAATGTCATAACCAAACCTATACCCCCACCCCCAAAAAAAAAATTATCCCCTCCTTTTTTTCATAGGAACCATCCTTACACCCTGTATCATCCCTATACACACACCCTCTTCCACATTCCCAAACCCAAACCCTAATCATGTCACTGTGGAGATAAGTGTCAGACACTGGTACAATAGTTCAATGAAATTGAGAAAATGAGACCATCTGAAAAGGTCACCGTAACCACTATGATGATTTGCTAGAACAAAGGAATGGAGTGAATCTCTTCCATCATGTGGATTCCAGGGATGGAAAATCTCTACCCATGGATTTGAGAAGCAGGGTCACCTTTAACTTAAAATATTTGAGAAGCCAGGATTTTGAAGTAACAGTGGATTTGTCATAATTCAACGACCATATAAACTAGGATGAGGTCATCGAGTGACTTTAGACTTCGGAACGTGTCATTGAGTGTCAAGATGTCCCGTTAAACAGAAAGTTGAAACAAGTTTCTAGCAAGGAAAATTGCATTTCAGTGGTAGGTTAACTTGAAAAATCTTCAACAGCAATAAGAGAAGAGTAAAATTATTACTTGGTCCAAGTTGAAACGGGAGATGCAGCGTCAGTACCTACCAATTCACGACAAACAAAATGTTTAGACCCCAACATCAAAAGTTGGCGACCACCACATCTTACAGGTAGGGTTCAATCCCAAGATCATATAGCTAGAGTAGACCAAAAGGGTACATCCATGACCCTGCTTGAAGAGGAACTAGGTCAAAGTGGAGAACTTGTAGAACCAATCTGCATTTTCCAAATTTGTCCCAACCAATAAGTGCTTGAAGTGACTTGGATTTGGGCATACCAAATCAAAATTGTACAACCAGGAGAATGATCTCTTTCACATAGCAGGGGGCAGTAGAGGAAATAAATAGTGATCCAGGAGAAGATGAGAAAGGATCTCAACCTTCAATAGACGGGAAAAAGACACCATCACATCCAGTTGAACTAAGGAGAAAGATTCTAGTTAAGTTGACAGTAACTCTTTTAGAAGATAACGAGTCCGAGGCAATGGGTGTTAATGCAAATGGTGAGGTTGTGGTGCCTTAAGCTACCTTTTTGAAGGCATTGAGAGGAGCAACAGTAGAACTGGTATTGAAAGTCCAAAATGACCATGAGCTTGAGGAGCAGTTACCAAATACAGGGCAATCTTGGGTAAGAGAATTTCATATTTTTCAGATATATAGCTTACCTCCTGAGTTGAGTCTGTTAAAGAAGGTCTAACATGTCAAAGATTAGAAGATTTTGACACACTTTGAAAGACAATAGAGAGTCATTTGGGTATTAAAATCAATTCAATAGTGCATCTTCGATGGAGGATCATACAGGATGGATGAACAATGGTTTTGAAAATTTCCTTAGAAGCTTGGTGGGAAAAAAAAATTATGATGGGATCCAAGTTTTACCAGAGAAGGAGATATTCTCCTGAGTGATTGCTAGTGAGAGTTGCCCAACACGCCATAGATTTCATCCCATTGTTGGATCCTCCTTACATGTTTATCAGATACAGTCGGATGAGTATGAGAAGTGGTAGAAGCTAATTACAAATTTAATGGCTCGAGACTTCGGTTCGTGAGGACTCTCATCCATGTTCAATGCCAGCTTAGGACGTGTCAAAAGATAATGACTATATATTCTACCAGAATGTGCTTTGGAATGATGTATCCTACAAGATTGATTTATCGGGGGATTACAATATCTATACTACCTTCAACGTGAAATACTTGACTCTATGCTAAGAGAACACAAAACTTTCGACGAATGAGGGAAGTTGCCCCGAACCCAAAAAAACTAACGCGGGAGCGAGCACTGTGGTTATTGAGAGGTTAAAATGTATTACAAAGATTTCTTATAATCAAATTGGATTTGTCAGGCAAGTTTACTATAGAAGCTATACATTTATTGAGAGGTTGGATGGAAGAGTTTAGAGAGAATAAGAAGAATATACATATGATTTTTATTGATTTAGAAAAAGCTTATGACAAGTTTCCAAGAGGAGTCCTTTGGAGAGGCGTTGATACGACTTATATTCAAGTCATTAAAGATATGTATACTAGAGTTATTACTTGTGTTAAAACAGAAGAAGGATTGACCAAGTATTTTCCTTTTTCAGTTGGATTACATCAGGATCGGCCTTAAGCCCAAATCTTTTTGCATTATTTATGAATACTCTTATCGGACATTTGCTGGTGATATTCTTCTTGTTGATAAGACAAGAGAAAAAGTTAAAAAAAAAACTTGAATTATGGAGGCTTACATTTGAGTCTAAAGGCCTTCGTTTGAGTAGATCTAATCATTAAAAGTTGTAACGCTTTAGATGTCTCTGGTCTATTATTCAAAGCGATGATAATATAGATGAGGATGTTATTAGTAGAATCCAAGTTGGTTGGTTGAAGTGGAAGAATCCAACGGGTCTATTGTGTGATGGAAAAGAGCCACTAGGACTAAAGAAAAAAATTTATAAGATGGTTAAGATGGTGATGAGACCAGACCTGCAATGCTCTGTGGCGCAGAATGTTGGCCTTTAAAAGAGAAGCATAAAACAAAGTTATGTGTTGCTGAAATTAGAATGCTTACGTGGATGAGGGGCTTGACACATAGAGACATGTGAAATGATTATATTCGTGATAGGGTTGTTGTAACTCCAGTGGCTGACAAGATTAGAGAGTCGCCTTAGATGGGAAGAGTGGATGTTTTAAATCCAACTTATGTTAAAAAAAACAGATGTAGATCTAAAAAGACCTATGCATATTGTATAAAAAAATGATCTTAATTTATTAGAATTAAATGAAAATATGACACTCAATAAGAAGCAATGGAAAAAAATGATTCATGTAGCCGACCCCAATTAGTGGGATGAAAGCTTCTTGTTGTTGTTGTTGTTGTTGTAGGTGTGAGATATGTAAATACATAAGAATTTTGTGCTACATATGTAAATTTCCCAAAAACATATGTTGTACTCAATGTTGCCAATACCTGAATGGAAAAAGTCGCTCAACAATGTTATCAACAGCAATATTGGAAGCAGCGCAGGCAAGAATCTTGGAACCACGTTTAATTTCTTGCAGTATTATCTCCACTATAGTTGTTGTTTTGCCAGTTCCAGGAGGACCATGAAGCAAAAAAACATTCCCTGAAGATAGGGCTTTTGAGACAGCATCCCTCTGCATAATATGAAGTAGCTTAGTGCATGTAAAGAAATCTGAATTTTTAAAAGGCAAGTTCACAGGGATCACAAGTAAATCTTAAAGCAACTGAAATGCTCATTTTAATTATTTTACTGGATTTCATAATTCATTGAACCTAGCAGCCATGAAAACAGCAATAGTGATATAAATGCAATACTTATATGAAACAACAGGCAAGTAATGGTAATACCCAATTTTTTGGTAAGGTGAAAATGTAAAATTCCCCAAATAAATTATTAAACCTAAATTGATGCCAGAGTTAACCAAAAAATAATAAAAAAACAAATATTATTGCGTAATTCAAATAGGAACTTACACCTAAAGACATAGGAAATCAGAAATTGCAGCATAAGGCAACACAAACTCAAACAATGGTGGATATCGGGGTGTTGGTGGTGATCGGAGAGGGTATGAATCCCTGGAAAGTTAATAAAAAGAGGTTGATGGGCAGGAAAGTGTGGCAGCAGCAAAGGGAAGAGAAAGGTGTCATGCTGCAGGAACAAGAAGTTTGGTGGCTGTCCTGGGCGGTGGCAGCAAAAATGAAGGCTGGACAGCAAGGGGGGGGGCCAAAACGAGGGAGAATGAGAGCGGAAGTGACGAGGGATACGAGGAACTGCAGGACAGCAAAAGGATGGCTGTCCAGGCGGCAGCAGCAAGGACAAGCGGATGGAATTAGAAAATTAAACTGAAAACAACAACAGGTTATTGTTTGGGAGCGGTTGCAGCAATAGCGGTCGGGAGTGACGTGAAGAGGATGTGAAAAGGAATGGGGAAGATAATCACTACCTCGGGAATGAAATGCAACCGGGGCACCACTCACACTCTTAAATACAGTCCTAGAAGGGAAAAGGAAATGCCAGCTGCTGTGCCGAAAAAATATGCAAAAACTCTGGATCCAAACTCTGATATCACATATATGGGAAAAAACCAGAAATGAAGGATAAAAGGAAACTCTCTACAAAATAGAAAGAAAATAAAAAATTTGTAGCCCGGTTCAGACATATTGTGATCGCGGGAACCGCGGCTTGCGTCCCAGTCCGCTATGTAGCATCCCTCGTCATAAAGTTTAGTAATGTCAATGTTACTGGATTTAATCAATCATTTATTTGTTTAATACATTGTAGCTTCCAACAAATCCCACTTAACAATGCATGCATAAGTAATGTATTAGGCAATGGTTGTGATATATTCTAAATCGCCTAATGTATAAAATTACTCAGTCATATAATTATTTTAAGTTTTCTTTAATAAGAATTATTGTAACCCTCAATTACCCCCATCCCATAAAACTCCAAAAAGCAAAAATCTAGAGCTGGGTAGGTTACGGGCTAGAAGAGAGAAAATCAGAGAATAACAAGAGAAGAAGGAGAGGATAACAAGAGAAGAAGGAGAGGAGAAGAAGAAGAAGAAGAAGAAGAAGAAGAGAAGGAGAGGAGGAGAAGGAAGAAGAATGGGTAGGTAGGACAATTGATTTTAGATTTAAAATTGAGGTTATTTTGTTTTATTAACAAATCAATTTTAAATTGGAATAGTAAGTTTCTATGACTTTATGGGAAGAAATAATATTGAGATTGCTTATAAAATAAAGATGTTTCAGGAGTCCAATTTGAGGGGATAACTCATCAAGTGGATAAGATTTACAAATTTTAATACATAAAATAAATTCTTTTAAATCTTTTGCACATGAACTTATATGCGTGGTTAGTTTGATCTCATCAATGAATTATAAAACATTCATATGGTAGAATTTATTTTTACAACTTACTTTTCATATGTAAACAACCATGCAAAAATTTTATTAATATAAGCTTGCAATTAAAAGCATTTTGATCATACAAATGTTTCATTAGTTAGTGATCTTGTTAAAAGAAAGTTTGACATCTATAAGTTACTAATTTGCATATACACTTATTTAGCATATTTTAAAAAGAATCATCAATTTATTGAAATGTCAAATTATGACAATGCATTGAAATTAAGAAATATCATGTTATAAAGATACAGATTGATAATGATATGTTTATGATACTAGCACAGGTAGGCCAAAAAGGTTTCCAATGGAACAAAAGAGACCCTCATAAAGAAAAAGGGTCTTCAATAAAGTTTAATAGCAAAAATGTTTGGTTTCACCTTGGATCTATTAAACTTGACCATAATATTTTCGAGTTTAGTTTAAAATTTGTCGGCACTAAAGAGTCATGGGGAGGTGAAGTCTAATAACATTGGTTCCAAATTCCAAGATGCTTGATTTGATGAGGGCATAGCAGTGAATTTACATATAATTTTATAATTTTATAAAAATATTAAATCAAACTGACCTCATATTTTTCGCAGTTTAAATGAAAGAGCGCTCTACCTCAAATCCTGTATCTATCCCGAGGGATAAATACAAGACTTGAAGATGAGGCTCGATCAAATAAACTAAGAAAACATATGACATCCGTTTGGTCTACGAAACCATTTTATTTGTCGACAAGTTCCCCTATTTAATACAAAAAATTAAATAGGGTTTATTTTAGGCTGGGTTAGGAAAAACTTCCTATAAGGGCAAGCCCTTGTAGTTAATTACATCTTAAGTGACCGAAGTCACCTAAGAAAACTCTCGATAAAAATCAGGGAATATTATCTTCAAAGAAGTCAAAAAGATAAGACTTTTCAACAAAATCGGACAAAGAGATGTGAAACGGGAAATGCTCGAACCTGGAACGATGTTGAGGAATCCAAATGAAGAGAAACGAGGGGAGGCCACAGATCCTAAGACGAACCTCGGTGGCTTCCCAGTCTATCCTATGATTTTGCTTCAGTTTCGAGGATAAATCATTCAAGTGTTTCATCTTGCCAATTTTATTTAATTAGAGCTTATATTTACGTGACATAGTCACACAAATCGTCTGAAAGATATGAGGGTTTACGTCATATCGGACGACAACCTCGGAACCTAGAACGAGTTAGGGCATAGGGCATAAATTGCACAGTCTGACTGTGCAAAGGCCTAACAGATAAAGTGAGGATTTATGTCGCGCTAAGCAGACTGCCTCGAAATCCTATGGCTTGTTTAATTTATAGGGAAGGAATGGGGGTTTTTTGGGGAAGACATGTTCTGCTGTTGAAGATGGTCGCGTTGCCTACCGCGCTAGCTCCAAGCTCCCCGACGTGACAAGTTTAAGTTTTCTAGGGTGTCCAGTTATAGTGTCAAATCAAACGGCCTTATGGTTGTAGTCCTCTAAACATCCTATATAAAAAAAACATGCTTAAAGATATATAAATAAATAAAATGTGCAGTACAAGACAATAGTAGAATGCATATGAAACAATAGCAAGTAGCAATATGAATAGTATAACATGTTATACAGTACAGTGGCAGGTAGCAACGGGAATAATATAACATGTTGTACAGTACAGTAGCAGGTAGAAGCAGAAATGACATAATCATGCTGTACAGGAACAGTAGTAGCAGGTAGAAAATAAGAATAATATAACATGCTTATGCAGTACAGTAGCATGTAGAAGCAGAAAAATAAAGTACTGAAAAATGTAAAGCAAATATGTACGCCCGTAAGATCCGATGTTCCTTAAGTATAGTAAACCTAAATGCATCTCAAAAGTAAAGTCCGGAAGAAAACGTCATCCAAGAAATCCGAGGAAAAAAAACAGAAAACTCGAAAAAATCAACGAGAAGAGACTCAAGTAAAAGAAAATCCTCAAAAATCCTAGAGAAATCCCGAAAGAAAGAAAGAGTAACCCTGTCCCAAAGCTTCGATAAAACAAAACAAAGAAAAGTTCGGATGAGGGTGTTGACCTCATTTTTAGTGAGGTCTAGTCTTCCTCTTAGGGTTTAGGATCTAGCCTTAGGGATCTCCCTTTGACTATCTTAGAACCTTAGAAGTGGTGCCCGCCTCATTGTAATTTGACCTATTTCCGTCCTCTTTTGTGGTTCCAAGTGTGTGGTATCGACTTCTAGCATTTAGAAGGGTGAAACCAACATGAGGAAACCCAAAAGGGATCCCTATAGGACCTTTTGAGCCTTAGGGTGGCCTTCTGCACAATTCGCACTCCCGCGCGCACAAACTTCGCAATTCGGAGAGCCAACACGTCTGATCGCCATAATTCACATCGCTTGCACTGTTACCCGTCGAAGACTCGAATGAAATTTTTGAAACAATCGATCGCGGGTCAATATTTTTGTGAAATTTGAATTTCGACGCGTTTTTGACCCGATCGTCGACGACGTCGTCCGAGCGACCCCGGATGACGAAAC